AATATTAACTACATTGAAATGAGATAAATAAAATAACTTTATTTATTAATAAATAGAATACTTTGTCTCTGTTTAATGTGATTTGTGTTCTGATTTGTGTCTTTGAAAGTGGCTTTGGTGCTTAAAAGCCCTTGGCATTTAAGGCAGATAATGGTCATATCATTACACAACTCATCCTGAGTGCAGGGAATGGAATGGAACAGAACAGCTATGATATGCTATGCATATAGTTCTGCATGACAAGCTCTGATGTAGGTCTGAGGGGCCATCTGCAGTGCAGGTCCCAAGGGAGGCTGGTTCCAGGCACTGAGGCGTATGAACACTCTGGACCCTGACAGCAGTACAGCTGCACTCCTCATACGCTCTCCGTTAGACCTGTACGGGGTGCCACTGGAGAGAGAGTATCAGGCCAGGTGGACTCTTGATGGAGCGCTGTAGTTCTCAGGCTCTTGTGTTTGGTTGTTTCTCCAAATGCAACAACTCAGGCATTTTTAAAAACTAGTATTTGGGGGAGGGATGGGGATGGAAGCAGCAGGGAGATCACAAGGAAATGAGCAGGTACGGCCCATGCACAAAAGATTTGCAACCATCGAGTTGAGGAGCACATCTGCTTCAGGCTGAGGGCTTGATCTTTGAGCCTCACTGCTGTCAGAGATGTGCTCTTTTGCTACCCTGTAAAACCCAAATAAACCGGATGAACACAGACAAGTTTCAAAAACAAGTTCACACGTGTTTTTCACAACTCTCCTCAGATGCTCAAGTTACCCAGAGACAATCAACATCTCTCACCCCCATCAGAAGGCACAGGCCTCCTTCCCACAGAGTGACAGAGCCAATGCCTGAGGTGGGACATGATTACCCGTTCAGTCCCTTCCACTGGCACAGGGCTGGGAAGAAACATCATCTAGTATTTCCTCAGCAGGTACTGATAGGGAAAGCAGGAAGTAGGGAGAAAAAAATCGGAAGTTGGAAAAGACCTACACTGATCATCAAGTCCAACTGCTCGACCACATTGGGGCTGGCCAATAGTAAAAGCATGTTATTAAGGGTGTTGTCCAAATGCCTCTGAAACACTGATGGGCATAGGGCATTGGTCACCTCTCTAAGAAGGCTGTTCCAGTTTCTAGCCATCCTCTAGGTAAAGAAATGCTTCCTCATGTCAACTCTAAACCTCCCCTGGAGCAGCTCTGAACCATTCCCACACATCCTATTGATGGATCCCAGCAAGATCAGCACCTCCCTGTCCGTTTCCCCTCCTTGGGAAGAGCTGTAGAGAGCAGTGAGGTCACCCCTCAGCCTCCTTTTCTCTGAACTAGACAAACTCGGTGCCCACAGCCGCTCCTCACAGGACAGGCCTTCTAGCCCTGTCTCCAGCATTGCTGCCTTCCTCTGGATGCATCCAAGGACCTTCCTGTTCTTAAATGGTGGGGCCCAGAACTGCACATAGTACTCAGTGTGAGCCTGCAGCAGCGCTGATTATTACAGCAGGACAATCACCTCTTCTTTTTTTTTCTTTAATATATATTTTTTGTTGTAAGTAGCTCCCAGCTGCCTGGATTAATGTCCTCCTCTTTTCCGTATGAGCTACGGTGGACGCTCATAGCTCCTGCTCAGTCTGGGCCTGGAGCAAGCAGCCCAGCTCCCTCTCAGTTCCCCTGACACCTTTCAGCTACTGACAGTGCCCCCCAGCTCAGCCCCTGCTGCCGCAGGACCTCCACCAGGGAGCACCGAGTGCAGCTCTGCCCCTTGTGCACCCTCGCCTCACGAGACCGGTGCAGGCACTTTCTGCACCCCGAGCTCCGCGCTGCAGCCTCCCCTCTCATCGGCTCTGTCTGGTGCCGACGCTGCCACCGCCGGGGCTCCCAGACCGGGTCCTCGCCCTCAGGCGAGCGCTCCCCATTCCGTCCGCTGCCTGCTGGCGCTTCCAGCCCCGCCATCCCTCATCCGTCATCCGCGGCTCCAGCCCCGCCATCCGCCCCGCCGCGCTCCTGCTCCGCTCGGGGCGGGGCCTCCCTCCTGGCACCGCCCCCTGCTCGCCCCTGCTCGCCCCTGCTCGCCCCTGCTCGCCTCAGCGGAGCTGCCGGCTCCTGGGCAAGGCCTGGCGGGGATCGAGGCTCCCCCGGTGGCTGTCGCCGGTCGGAAGTGAGGCTCCTGAAAGCGGTGTTTCCTCCCCCTGCGGTGCTGAAGGCTCCTCTCTGGAGATACTCACCTAGGCAAAAATCGGGTTCAGCTAGGTCAGGTTGCTCAGAAACACATCCAGCCTGGCCTTCAGCGTCTCCAGGAGTGAAACTGACATCTTAAGACTAAAGTGTTTTCACTCTCAACTGTGTGTTACCCACCAAAATCTGTTTCATCGTCACCAGTTAAAAGATGTAAATAGAGCCCTCTTTTTATGATGGCATATCTTAATTCTGATTCCAGTTTATGTGTTTCTACATTGTGAAATCTCCTGGGAATGGTCTGTTCTTTTAAAAATTATGTGTAAATGAGGCCAAAAAAAAAAAAAAAATTGGGGAAAGATGTTCTGAAGCACTGAACCATTTCTGCAGTTTCTATCTGTGTAGCTGGCACTTGCCAGTTGTTTCATGTCTGTGTTGTGCTGTATTCCACACAGATAAAGCAAATGAAACTGCAGAAGTATTTATGGCCAGCATCACCATCTTTCTGGTCTCTGTCAGTGCGAAGTGAATTTGGTCTTGTTCGGCCAAACAGAAGTGAAGAACCGATATCTCCTTCCTAGAAGAAAACAAAATATAAATAAAATAGTGTTTCAGGGCAAGGAAAACTAGTGATGTTTTCCAAGCATAATCAGATGGTTATGCTTTCAAAATAGAGGTGTGTTCCCAAGCTGGCCCAGAGTATCAAAGGAATCATCGAGAACAGAAGCAATGCCATGGAAGTCTCTCTAGCTTTCTTTGTCGATACTGTTATTCCTCTCTTGAATGCAAATAGCTTTGAACTGAGCTATTATGCAAAATAAGAATGGAAAAAATAAGCATGGAATATCTATGAATCACTTCAGAGAAGTACTAATGCCTGTGGGAATACTTGGACACAGAGACCTGAGGGTGTCTTAAGAACCTCATCTGCACTTTCCTACGCTACAAGCTGGATTTAGGACATTGCTTGGTTGGTTTTTAAATGATCCTCATGTACTCCTGCGACTCCCTTTAATTTTTTCATAAGTGAGGGATCTGTGATGTTTGGCGTTGCTTCTGTATTTCCTGTTCTGGCTTTCTGGATGCTTACTTTTTCACTTGGATGGACAGATGAAATGCTCCAAGTGGCTTCACTGGCCAAGTAATCTTTGTGAGTGTGTATATATGCGCATAACTTTTATATAAAGTTGTTTCTGCCAGAAAATATCTTCCTTCTTATTCCTCCTGCTCCATTTCAAGCGCCTGTTTAAGTGCAACAAGCCTTCACTGCCCTCCAGTCTTCAAATAGTAGCTGTCTATAGTTGAAAATGTTTGTATCAAGAGATTAGATAAAATTAAGAAAAAAAAATTGATTAGGTGTAATTATAAAATTTAAACAGGGGAAGTTTAGATTGAATATAAGGAAGAAGTTCTTTACTGTAAGGGTGGTGAGGCACTGCAATGGATTGCCCAGGGAAGCTGTGAAAGCTCCATCCCTGGCAGCGTTCAAGGCCAGGTTGGACAGAGCCTCGGGTGACATGGTTTAGTGTGAGGTGTCCCTGCCCATGGCAGGGGGCTTGGAACTAGATGATCTTAAGGTGCTTTCCAACCCTAACTGTTCTATGATTATATTATTCTATAAGAAGATTAAACTGAGATGGTTTGGCACAAAAGATTCAGGATAAAGTAATGGCATTTTTTTTAATAAGTCAAACAACTGTTTTTGCTGTGTATTTTATCAAGGTGTTTTAGTTGTGCAAATGGGGAAAAGATGAGATGCAATTGCTTCTGATGTGCAATTAAAAAAGGAATAAGAAGTAAGCTGATACTTGAATTTTCAAGCTTGTCATGTTTTCAGTCTGAACAACTACAGATGCTTGCTTAAAGACCTGTGTACTAATTTTTGCTGCTAAAAATGTCAAGTTTGTATGTTTATGAGAATCCTAAATTTTGACTCTGTATGTTTTTGTGATGGCTTTAATATGGTTTAGTATAGGGAAAAACAGGAAAGTGCCACAGCAGCATTGCTTTTGCTTGGGGAAGCAGAGGAGTTAATTCTTTCATATCACCCACATGCAAAGTGTCTTGATACAGAATTAAAAAAGCAGAACAGAATTAACTACAGCTCCATACTCTCATTTCCACCCAGGCTCACAGACCTGGGCTATGCAACAGAGGGATAATTGAATGTATGGAAATAAATATAACCGACCTCTCTACCTCACATTTTTGCCTTCCAGAGGCAATGATCCTTCCTTTTGCTCTACAGGCAGCTCAAATTGGGAGAAGTCAGAAGATGCCACTTGATAAAGAGGACCTTGCTATTCAGACTCTCAAATTTAGGGACATTTTGCTTAAAGGTACTGAAGTAGAAGCTAAGACCAGGTAGTGAGGTTAAAACTGTCTGCCCTGTGTTTCTATGACCACACTTGAAGAAGCTCAAAGCAGATGACATAAACCATTAAATAATCTGTTTTGAGGCTGTGGCATTGAGTTATTTTGTCTGGGCAGTCTAGAGGAAAATTGACACGAGCAGAAGTACATGGGTATAACTCTGGGAAGACAGAAATTTTTTTTGCAGATCACTAAACTAAACTAAAAATTTTTGAAGACTTTATCAAGTATTTAATGGTGCTCTCTTTTGCCAAGAAAAAGGGCTTGGTTAAAATCCTGTGTTTACAATGAGGTAAACTACTAAAAATTCAGCACTTACTTTGCAAACAGTATAAAGCCCATCATAATGCTAAACATGTGTGCAAATAAAAGGCCTTTGAAGAATGCCTGATAGAGATTTGTGACTTTTATTTTATTTCATCCTCCTGGTTTATTCACTTGAACTAACAGTTTTTCCTTTCTGTACAGAGAATGATTCCAAGTCTTTCTTCTACTGTAAATTATACTGATCCTACATTAGAGCCTGTTGTAACTGAAAATTCAGTCATACGACAGAAGATAATAGATTCGCAGTTCAAATGCTATGAGAGGATGAACAGAGCTCCTCCGTATAAGAAAAAAGGTAAAAAAAAAATCTAAAGGAATCTGTTTGTATATTGCCATGCTCCATTACATAGGTATAAAGAAACATTTTCTTCTGTATACTAACCCATAGTTTTTCTTGGGGCACAGTTTCCTTCCTGTAAACAGTAGTCAAATTCACACTTACAAATTCACACATCCTCTTAAGTGCAAAGAAAGAAAAAAGCCTGGAATGAACCCAGGGAATGAACAGCTCTTCCTTCCTTCCCATACAGACAGTACCTTCCTCATCTATGTTTCTGGCTCAGTGCTTTGCTGCTTGAGTATCTCCTATTCTTGCTTTGGGAATAGCATTCTCCAGAACCTTTCAACAAGTTCACACAGAGATCAGACCATGAATGGTGATCTCTTAAATAGAAATGTTGTTCTGTTTGCCTTTCTCATTGTTTTGTTTTTCTGTTGTGATTTGACTGAAAGCTGTCATGCTCAGTACCAATACAGGTGTTACAGGTATTCTCTATTCAGCAGTAACATTAGCAAGAAGAGGTTCATAAAACACTGAGCAGGCACCTTCAGTGAATACGGGCCATATATTAAGATTAATAAAAAAGGGAAATGACAAATAACAGTGGTGGTACAGAGGCACAGTATAAATGAAGCAGCATTTCCGGAACTGAGAGTTCTGATTGCTTTTTCTCACAGGAAATCCGGAAGAAGTTATGAGCAGGCTGTAAAAAAAAAAAAAAAAAAAAAAAATTGAATCCATTGTGGGGATTTGTGCAAGTAAAGAACAAAGATGCTGGTGACATAGTTTAACAAAAAAAGTATTAATAATCATGATTAAAAAAACACAACCTAATAGAAGGGGTGGAGATAATATGGGATTTTTTGTAATACACGAACAAAGACATTTCCACAGCTTTTTACCACAAAGATTTTACTGGCCTCTGTAAGACTCAAAGAAGAATTAGATGTTAAGATATTCAGGTCTTGGTGCAGAAATGTTTGGGAATGAATATGGAGATTCCATTTGCTTTAAATAGGTCTTTGTTCAGGCAAAAAATGGGGAAAACCCGTAAGTGTTTAAACAGGCTTACAGAATAGAAAGCATCATGTTTCAGACATACAGAAGCCTTTAGTTGCTGGGCTTGATGGGGAAAACACTGTCTGCCCAAATTACTCTTTTATGCTTCATCTCTATAAATACATCATTTGATATCCATTGATAGTTGTGCTGGATTCACCTTTCTTTTGCACCTTGCTCATGTTATTACCTGCAAAGAGCTGAAGTGTTTTCCCAGCATGAGCTTGGAATTTGTACCTCTCATGACATGTGAATTCCTTGTAGTGTTCTCAAGGGCTGCATTGTTGCAGGAAGACTGCAGTGGCACACCTGCAGCCATCCAGCACAGCACAGCAGTTTCTGCAGTCTTTCAAGTAGCAGCTAGATTTAAGTGATGCCACTGGGGACTGTTATGTTCATAACAACATGCACTTAATTTATTTGTAACCCAGAATGAAGATAATGGGTGACTACGGAATCATGCCAACACTACTGAAGTTGCAGTTTCAACTGAATTGCAGGATCTTCATCAGCCCTCCATATGCACACTTCATAAAGGATTGGAAATGGACAAGGGTCTAAGTCTCTTGGCTGCAAATTTGAAAGACTGGATAGGATGAGATGGGAAATTCCCTTTATGCAAAAGACAGCAGTAGGGGTGTCTCCTGGAAGGAAAAGCCCAACATACAAGCTGAAGGAGTATACTGGGCATGCATTTTCAGCACAAACAGTAGTGGAGTGTAGCACTAAGGTTCCCAGGAAAGCCCACTGTCTGGTACAGCTTCACAGAGCTAGCTGAGATGTGTCTGATTTGTCACTGGTATCTTTGCAGTTCCTGATGTAGCTTACTTGTACATGGGAGCAAAGGTAGTTTAAATCCTTCATAATCAATGAGGGCTCAAAGCTGATGGCAATGAACTGTAGAGAACTGCATCGTATCTCACACTCGGGAGCCAGAGAGGTGGTATAATAAAGATGCCCATTTCAAGGTAGAATTGGTTACCTTAAATCCCAAACAAATAGCATAATGAATTGCTCAGGCAAATGGAAGCACCTGAACATCCCTCTAGGACAACACAGCACTTCCACACACTGTCCATCTAAAATGTGGTGTCCTTAGCTGGTGATTTATATAACAATATCGTGTTCAACTCTTCTTTTTCTGTTTTATTACTTATACTGTTCTGTTTCCTGCAGTGCTTAAAAAAGAAATACATGTTCGTCTGTGTGGGTACATATATATGTACATGTATATATATATTTATGGATGTATGTGTGTATATATATCCTGTTAATTACCTTGAAAGACAAATTCCACAATGCATAGATCAACATCAGTGGTTTTATTTTCTTTATCACGCAAGGCAAAGGATTTAGTGCTAGAAATTCCTAGCAAACTCATTCTGCAGTGTCTTTCAGATACAAGCTCAAGTTGCAAACATTCTCTGCTCTTCTTTGATATTGCAAAACAATTCCTAAAAGTCTTTCAGATACATCTCAAAGCTAGAGAAGAACGTGAGAATGCCTGAAGGAAAGACAACAAAACTGCTGATATGATGATTGGTTAATTAAGTGAAAAAGTAGCATTAGCACATTTATCTTGACAATGGAAAAATAGATGTGCATAAAATTTTAGCTAATGAAGAAAAAGTGGTCATAAAAATATCTTTTTTTGCTGGACAAAAAAATCATGCCAATTTTTTTTTTTTTTCTTGGGGGGAAAGAATTGAGAAAGTTTTATGCTTCAGTTTTTAATCCACAACTATTTTGACTTAAAAACGGTCATTGGTGCTAATCTGAACAATTGAGATGTCTTTTTACAGCTTTTTTGCTTTTGTAAGAAAGCTTTATCTGTGAATAATTTCAAAAGCACCAGAAGCAATTAGCTGCTTGTATTTTATTAACTTTATATGGTTGATAGATGCCTTCCATGTGATACTTTCAAAAACAACCTACATGGTCATAGCAGCAATTCTGAACCAAAGCAAAAAAAGAACCAAAAGCAAAAAAGGAACCAAAAGCACAAAATTCAAGATATATCTTCTCACTGTATAACCTTTTAATCTGATAGTCATGATGATAAATAGCTTTTCCCCAGCACAAACTGATTTTAAATGGAAAATAAGTAGGAAGTATACAGTTGGTTTTTTATGTTTTGCTTTAATAAATCCAGTGAGTCAGAAAAACGTGTTACAGCAAGCAGTCTCACAGCACAATTTTTGTGGACCATAGTATATAACATCTCTGTAACAGGAATCAAGAATCAGCCGTGTTCTGCCTCCCTAAGACGGCCATTGTTTCTGGGGCTAGGAACAGTCCTTGTAAGGGACAGAGCCTGGACAGTGCTGCCTTCCCAGAAGGGGCATGAATCACAACATGCCTACCCAGACAACATCAGCAGACAGAGTTTGCCTGTTACAGGTTGGTCTTGTACCCACTTCATCGAGTTTGTAGTTATGTCATTGATCTCTAGTGTTGAATAATGCAACACCTTTACAGGAATTTATCCCTGCAAATACCCCTTTTAGCTGGGACATCCCCGCAAGGACTTCCTACATTTACATTTCAAAGACTTGATTTTCAGACCTGCTGAACAGCAGAAGGTGAAATGAAATGTGGGTGTAGGTGTCTGTAAGTTGCCACTTGTGTTATAGCTAAGGACAGAAGGTGGTTCAAAAAGAGAAGTTTATAGGATCAGACCCTACGTTCAAAGTTCAGTTCAACAGGCTTTAAAACATTACTTTCCAGTAGAATGAACACCACCATCAGGTCAGCAAAACCAAGTACCTTGTAGCACTCAAATACCACTCAAAGTGTAACAGTAACAACAGGTTTTATTGCAAAAAGAAAACTTGATTGTCTGCAGAAAGCTATAGTCCTTGAGAAACTAAAAGAGAGCAAATTCAGGAGGGACTGTGTTGAATTAACTACTGCATTCCTCTTAAATGTCCAGGACTGTTCTGCAACCGAACGTGGGATGGCTGGTTGTGCTGGGATGACACACCTGCTGGCAGAATCACTGCTCAGAATTGTCCAGATTATTTTCCAGACTTTGATCCAACTGGTACAGTATTTCTTTTTATTATCTTACTTTTCAGACGAAGTCTTCAGAACATTCATGCCATCAAATGGAAGCATTTTCCCAGTGGCATTTTTAGAGCATTGTGAAGTCTTAGAAGTTTGGCTGAAATTAAAATATATCAAGCTAATGGGTTGCCTAATTTATATATTTTAATTTGTAAAAGATTTTACATTTATTTATATTTGTGTAAATGTAATCCATAATCCATAGCCAGGATTATGAAATGTAGTTTATAAAAAAACCCTAGCTACTTAGTTACAATGCCAAAACATTTTTAGCATCTCATTCTAAGTTTTTGTAATGAAAATACGTATGTGCATGAAACATGTATCAGCATGGGTTTTGTCCAGGTTTTGTCCAGGTTTTGTTGGAAAATACCATTTTATGGAAGATGAGCAGAAATAATGTTCTTTCAGTCTCCAAGTTTCAGTTGTTCATTGAATTCTTCATACAAATACTATCAGCCCTGCAGGCTAGGAGAAGTAATTCAAGGACATTTAAAAGGACACATGAAATGAAAAATCAAGGACAGAAATATTGCTAAATAGATATAAGGAAATATTAGACACAGGTGTAAAATTGCAAGGTTATTGTTTGAAGAAAGAAGCAGTTGTGTGTTCCATCCTCAGGACATGTTGCTTATAGGCAGTGCTTGATGCCACAGTGCACTAAATCCAGCATAGACACAGGGTGCCAATTGCAGTTAAAAACTGTGAAACTAAACATTTAGGGGGCCAGGGTATGTAAAGCTAAACATTTTATGTAAGGTTAAACCAAAATGTATGTTCTCAACTGGAAAGCAAAGAAATAGACTAGTGGATAGCTGTGAATTAATTACCCAGTATCCTTAGCTAAACTGTTGATTTTATTGAGCCTGTTGCCTATTTAGAAACAGAGAAGTTTCCAGCTTGGATCAGACCCATTGTGCATTTTTCTGAATACCATTTGCAGTAGATGAATAGGAAAATCCACAACAAGGTTTCTGCTTTCCCTGTTTCCATGGTTCTCATAGAAAAATAATTGTGGCACTAACAGTCCTAGTTTATGCACACTTCATGTGCTCTTCAGCTTATACCTGCAAAAGTGGGTGTTGGACAGCCCTGTGATTACAGAATTCTCCCAGCAACTCAAGATCCTCATCCCTCTGTGTGTGTTTACTGAGCCACTCTCCTGCTTGCTCCCAAGCCACCTATTCCCAGCTTTTCCACTTGTCTACTTGTCTCCAGTGACTTGTTCTGAACTAATTGCTCCTCTACAACAGCAGTCTTCAAAGTAACGCTTGAAGTCCTCCATGGAGAAGCGCCTCACTCCACTTATTAATGCTTATTAACGCCAAGGTCTGTGGCTTGTACAACTGGTTGCAAATCACTGCCTAATGTACAAATATGTGCTGTAGGGTCTGGTCCACAGTGTGTGCATATTGCAGTTATTCTTTCTGCCACAATTTAGAAGTATTCCTCTCTACACAGCCACAGGAGGAAAAACCTCCTCCAGTTATTAATTTGCTACTGTCGTCTCTGCTGTCCTGTTTAGGAATAATACCTGTGTTCTTCTGGATTCAGTATTTTCGCCTGGCACATCTCTCTTCTCCTTGTCAGAAACTCTGTCAGCCTCTTTGCCTACATCCTGGGCAGTCAACACTGTTTCCCTAGCTTGGCAGCAGCTCAGCATCTCCTGGGTGAGCCACAGCCACTTTCCTAGAGTAGCTGTTGAGTAACCCAGCATGTATTACAGCTACAGTGCCAAACCAGCATGTAGCCAGCCTTTGCTTTACACATGGCTGATTGTCACACAGGGACTTAATAAAGTAGGAGGGAGACAAAAAATCGTGAGGGTGACTAAAAGTCTTTCAACTGCTAATGGAAGTGGCTGCCACTTATAGGTAGCCAAAAGCTCATGTTCAGCTCTTGTGAGAAGTCTGTCAGGTTTTGTGCCGCAAGTCATCATTTTCTCTGATAATTTATGCTTGATAAACAAAATACAGTTAGATTTTCTGCTGAAAAACAGGAAACTCATCATGAAGAACAAAGATTTCACATGATGAAAACTGCAGTGCCTGTCAGATTTGCTTTGCATTAAGTCTTTATATATCAAACCACCTTGCATATATTTTAGGCATACAAGTAACTCCATAGACTTCTGAAACAAGTGTTTCATGCTCTGCTGCATTGGGCTGCACATAGATCTGCCAAACCAGTGTGTATCAGCTCACTGATACGTTACTTTTGTCTGAGGCCAGGTATAGCTTTGAGTCCTGGAATAAAATGTTCAGCTTTCTTTTGTGCTTTCATATTCACACGATTCCTAACTGGAAAGGTGAAGCATTATCCAGTAGCATAGGATTGGATTCTCCTCCCATCTGCACCTGTGTTAGAAAGTATGTTGGAAAGTAAACAAGGTGAAATCGTATTCTGGAGAAAAAGACCCAGAAGCAAAATGATAGAGAACGCAAACAGTGCTTTGTTCATTTTGTCTGACAACTTCAAAACTAACTACCATCTGTAGTCCCACTTATTTCACTGAAATTATGAACAGTTCTTACTAGATAGACATCCGTGTTCTGAAAGAAGGAAGGAGCACTCTGATAACCCAGTCTGTTTAGTTAGCTAGGGCTTCCCACACTTCCATCTTCACCTGAAGAAGCTCTGTCCTGTGAAAGGAAATCAGTACCTGAAAGCTAGCAGACAAACAGGAACTCCTCTCTACAAGCTGTGACAGCTTTTTCCTTTTCAAGAAACAACTGCTTCCTCTTGCAGCAATCTCTTTCTCACAATGGCCATCACATGCAATGTGATAATGCATATAACCAAATTAATTTGTCTGAAAAACATGCCGAGACCTACTGCTTTACCGCCTGTAGACAGCAGGAAATTCATCGTCTCATCCAGTCCTGGCTGTGAAGCTCTGAACAGGGCTGGTTTATACTCCCCTATTCAGGCAACTTGTACAGTTTCTCTTGAATTGTATTTTATATTCATGTTTTATCCAGGTTAATCTTTGGTGTAATCACTTGAAAATGTTTCCAGGTCATGCTGAAATTGCTGGGAATTGAATTTGATAGGAATTTAATATGTAATTCATGCTGGCAATATTCTTGCTAATGGAACAAAATGTATTGTGGATGCAATGGCCTTTTAGGGAGGCAGATTTATTGGAGGCAGCAGGAATAGCAGAGGATTGACCTCTGCTGTCCATAGGCTGCTGGGTTTGTGGCAGGGGAGTGTTGTATTACCCACCTCACCCTGCCTGCACAGTGTCTTTGTTTGGGATTTATTAGGTGCAGCGACATAGCAATGGAGCTGAATGTGCAAGTTGCACTGTGGCAGCCATACCTTTTCATTGCACTTTTGCTCCCTTTCCCCTTAGTCAAGGAGCAGTGAGTGGTTAAGAGCAGTAACCAGCCCAGCAGGGAGCAATCCTGGCTCAACTTTATGATCCAAGGCTGCATTTAGCAAAACTCAGCTCTCCACTTTGTTAGGTTTCTATCTTTGGTCCCACTTTGTAAGCCAGTTACTCATAACTCTCCATGCGACTCCAAGATCCAGGTTTCTAGAAGTGCAGTTTAGAAACAGATCCATATGTATTCATAAACAATTACCTCAGATGATGATGAATGTGTTGTTACCTCTCATAACCAAGGAACATGGAAATGCAGCCCTACACTTGCTCAAGTGTGGATCTCAGCAGCGGAAGGGACAGAGGCACTGCGGTATTTATGCTCTCTGCAGCTCTTTCCTGTGCCATACTGCAGTCTCTGAATTGCTTTCTCTTTCTGCAAAGTATCTTTAGAGAATTAAGGATAAATGCGCCGTGTAGGAGAAGTGGGGACAGATGCAATAGCTCTTGCAGATCCTTCTGGACTTACCAGCTGTGATGCCTGTGACCACAAGGGACTGTATTTGAGGGACACACATGCACCCTTCTCACAACTGGCCAAACGCACAAAGCATTCAGCTGAGTTCAGTTGCCAAGCTGACAAGAGCAGCCACTGCAGATGAGAAATCATGTCCTTCCACAAACCAGAGCAAGAGACTTTGGGCAGCAGCAGCAGTTGCAGCCCCTTCTACCCACCCGGCTCCTTGAAAGCAGGAAGACCACTTCCTCAAGCACCTTCCCAACTGTGATGTTCCTTCCTGCCTACCCAGTCCATCGTGTGCTCTTTCCCACTGAGCACTGTGCAACGGCAGGGCGACATGCCTGTGCTCACAGCAGGCTGCAGGCGATAAACTGTGTCCTTGGTGTGCAGGAGCCCCAGACACCTGCTGGAGCACCCTGAGCAACACAGGGAGAAATGGTCTTGGGAAAGCCCTTCTCTTGCTGCCACAGAATGCAGATTTCCTGACTCTGGCTAAAAAAAAAGCCAGCTCTGGATTCCTGCTGGTTCTGTTTTCCTGTCTGGAAGTGACATCATTTAGACAGTGATAAATAAACCAAGTCTGAACTCTGTCCAGCTTCTTCTTTTCCCCCTACCCTTCTGTGTATTTCTGTCCTGCTTCTTAGTAAGCTTGACAGCTGAACTTTAAAAATCAGTTCTTATCCCCTCAGTGCACAGTATGACTATATTATACAGATTCCATTTCTGCTGACTGAGGCACTCTGACAATAATGATAATGCTTTGCTTAGTAAGACACTGGAAGTTTTTTAGGGTTTCCATTGTATTATATAAGATTCTTTTTCATTTTTGAAAAGTTTTCTTCTAGAATATTTTACTGAGGTCATAGGTATATCAGACGTGCTCCATCAGCTATTCCCTCATCTGCAAAACTAAGTACTACACAGGTCTATCCAAACAATGTCAAAGAATCCAATGTCTGGTATGTGCTGAGCATGCACTGCAACAGAGGAAAACTTACTCCAACTTCCAGCTTATAACTTGACAATAAATAAAAACATTGGTGTTGACTCTTTTAACTTGTGCTAGCTATAGTGTTGGTCTAATTGTAAAAATGCTGATTGATAGTTATCATGCTTGTTTGGGTTAAGATATTTGTTAAATATAAATGGCTGAGGTGTTTTTATGAAAACATGATTCATTAAAGCACTATTGGTAGTACAGACAATACCACATGCATAACTATTACTACTAGTTAATCTTCTTAGACACTTGCACTACTCCCATGAAAATACCCCTGCGGATGAGATTTCTCCTTTTTTTCCCAGACATTTCTTGCAGTGTCTGTTTTTTAAGCTAACCACAAAGAGCCAGTACAGCTGGCTATGAATTGCATAACTTGGGGTTTCTAAAATCAGGTGAGACAAATCGCAGGCAATGCCACTGTTCCTTCACTTTGAATAATGTGATGTCTAAGTGGTGGGCTACCCAAGCTGATAGAGTAAGGCAGAGCCTAAAAATTAGAGTTTGCATTGTATTTTAATAATCTTAAAGCCCACTTTTCCATTTTGCATTACCCATCCTTCCACATTGTGTACTTCTTTAGAGTTTGCTAGGTCCTTCTGCTTAACATTAAAACCAACTCATGCTCAGGTTCATAATACCACACCTTGTACTAGGCCACTGTAGAATAACTTTCGTAGAACAGTGGTTGGATTACAGACTCACAGCTATATTTCTGCAGAAAAACGTACATTTAGAAGAGATGTTGGACAAGTTTGAGTCACTTAGATTGACAGTAGGGAATCTTATCTCCCAGTCCCATATTCTGGCAACATTACAGCAAGAAATCCATGGGCCATGGCTGCTTCCAAACTAGGAGCAGTTGTGTTTGTCTGGCTTCAAGGTAAAGTAAGAAGCCACATGTTTTTTTCTAATTTGCTGAGGCCACATTATGCTTCATCAGAGTGCCGACAGATACTGAAGTACAGAGATGATGGTATTATCGTTATACTCTATGTCATATTAACAAAAGCCGTGTACTTTGCAGAGTGCAAGGGATAGGAGGTACGATGTTTGTACGCTGTGTTCCATGGTAGTATAACCATTAATCTTTTATCTATGACTGAAGACTTTTTCCAGCTTTAGATAATATCTGGCAACGAGTACATTGGGAACATTTCTACACAGGCAGCCTGAGATTATCTCCAAGCTGCAGCGATGGAAGGCTGAGATAACGTGTACTGTTCTCTTGGTATTGTTGATGCACGTATTGATTTTCAACAAGTCCCCCAAAACAGTGATTTGAAACTTGAAGTCATTTCAAAAGTGTGCTGTGTTCCGAAGGATTGTCTTCTTTTTTCTCTTCTTTTTTTTTTGCAATGGCACTATTTCTAGTCAGAGGAAGATAGCTCAGTCTATGATCAATATTATCAGCTGCTTGCCAATATGATCAGTTGATTTCTTTAGGGTGTATAGAGGGAATACGAGTTTTCCGAATTAATTGAATCATTGCTCATCATAGCCAACTGAGAAAAATAAATGCAAATATTGACCACAGAAAATGAAAATGTATATGTTCAAATGCTAATTGGCTCTGTAGAAGTCTGCTGCCTGGAAATGCTTGTAATCTGCATATAAAGCCAATAAATTTATGAAGTTACAAAAGGGAGTCAAAATAGACTTTTGAGACTTTAAAGTCAGATTTGAAAAACTGTTTTTCATAAATAAACGGCTGTGTCATTGTTTAAGAAAGCATAAAGTAATTTAAGTTTATGATTTTATCCTGCCTTTGTTACTCAGGCAAACTTTCCAGTGACTCCCATGTGGGTAATGCTTAAAGGGAAGGCCAAGGGACTAGTCCAAAACTTGACAGGTGTTTAGGAATAACTGTCTGTGCCTCAGCATCCAGGGTTTCCCAGGCAGAAGTGTGAGCGTGGCCAGGAGGACACAGGCACAGCACACGTCTGTGGCTCCAGGCATCCTTCAGAGCTGTACAGTGCTGAAACCCCGATCATCCCCTGCCACAGTAAAAGAGGGCAAGCCGGACAGCAAAAGCCTGAATAGCTATCTATATAACAGGGCTTTTGGAAGGGATGCCAGAACCACCTGCAGTGCAAGAACAAGTACCAGAGACACATATGGAGGCCAAACACACATCAGATTTAACAGAGAACTCTGTAGCCATTTTAAATTAAACTTGACACTTAGAACCTGTGCCAAAATGTTTGTGATGCTTCTTCTCTCTGTGCCTACATGCTTTGTAGCCTTAGAGGAAAGTGAGCACTGCTCCTACTCATCCTAGCAGGGCTTGGCAGGCACTGGGCTGTCAACATCTCCAGCATCCAGGCTCCACTTTATACACTGCTTGCTGCCCTTTCTCTAAACCGTATTTTTAACTAATTATTTCCTTTGATACCTGAAACACTGCACATTGCCTTCAGGTTTGACATCAGGGCCTGAGGTTACTTTCTCTTCCATAAACAGCTTTAAATGGGTAGTTATCATATAAATAATTGCATCTGAATAATCCTTTAGAATTTCAATTTTTCTTTCTGTAGCAAGTGTCTTCCAAGCTGTTGATGTCTTCTCTGCAAGGCTAGAAACATTTACATAAGTTAAAATTATTTGTCATAAGCAAAGCATATCACACTCACTTTCAAAAGAAATATTTATGAAGGTACCATTAATCCAGAAAATCCTACAAAACTCTTTGAATGGATTATTATCACATAAATAATCACACCTGAACAAAAGCCAGTTGTATATACTCTTCTGCATTCATGCAAGGCAAAAGGAGACAGACAGATAACAAGTATACCACCAGATAACCGTGAGGAAAATAAAATGTATAATAATTGCACAAGTTGAAAATTCTTTGTATTTTGCTATGCAGACATCTTCTTTCCAAACACAGAAATCCTTTTTTTTTAATGGATTTTAAAATGTGTCATATACAATGCTGAATAAACTGTTATTGCAATTTATCATTAGAGCGAGCTTCAAAGTATTGTGATGAAACTGGAAACTGGTTCCGCCATCCTGAGAGCAACCGAACGTGGTCCAACTATACCCTGTGCAACTCTTTCACTTCTGAAAAATTAAAGGTATGCTATTAAAATGACAGTGATTGTTTGGGAATGGCTTTGGGCTTTGCTAGCAGAAAGACACGTGAGAGAGGTCAGAGCAGTCCTCATCTTTCAGCTTTATTTGTTGCACATGAATTTAATAGCATTGTCCTTGTGGTTTTAGTTTATTGAAATTATTTGATGAGTGCTCAAACCTGCATATAAGTTTGCTGTGGGGTGGATAATTCAGTAGCAATTCATTTGACAAGTTTTTCAGTGTTTTTCAAATGCATTTTTTAATTCCTATGATTTTCCCTGATTGTCCAGCAGTTATAAAATAATCCTTTAAAATTTCGATTTCACTTTCTCTGACAAGTATCTTCCAACAGTTTATGTCTTCTCTGGAGGGCTAGAAATACTAATGTAAATTAAAATTATTTTTCTTAAGCAAAGAATATCGCCCTGTATGCACTCCTTTTGAAAAGAAATTTTTATGAAGGTACCGTTAATCCAGGAAATCCTACAAGCCTGAATGCATTTAACTTTTAACAGTTCAGCTGAAGTCATTGAGACTTTGTACAATAATAAATTAAGCATTTGCATCAATATTTCCAAAATCAAGTTGCTAAGCTGAAGGAGAACTAAATATAAAAGCACAAAAAGAAACAAAGAGAGAGAAATCTGAGAAAAGCTTTGAAAAAAATGAAATTGGGACGATCATGAAAATAAACATATTTCTCAAATGTGAGTGGAGCTCCAGGAAAATCTGATTACAGATTTGTGACAGAATAATTTGTGACTGTTTGGAATTGTGGAAGGAAAAGAGTCAAAAAGTTATTTGATTTGGAGTTTGTGTTGGAGGATCTTCTTTAATGCAGCCAAAAACCAGTATGTGGTTATATTTAGTAATGATCCAGCTCAAAGGGCCTTGGAAAAGGCTACTGCACTAGGCTGGAGGTGAATTCTAAAAGTTTTTGCAGCATGAGGAGCTATCATGGTAAAATGGGGCTCACCTATATGACAAAGAAAGAATAATAGTAACAGTCTGAGCTCACAAAGCCGTTAAATGGAAGTGCCATAAAAATTTTTCCAGATGTTGGCCCATGTAGAGAGGCAAAAAATGTAGTTCTGTTACCTATTATCCATGCCTTCCAGAAGAACAATTTTGAACATCCTTCAAGCAAATTGCAGATAGAACACAAAGGAAAATTTTTCATGTGTCGAGATTCTTCTGAAAGAAAAAGCAATGGAAAATGCAGAAAGAATCTTTCTTTACATAAATGCCAAGTTAAATTATGACCTTTAATCCCAGTCTTCAAAACCAGGAGTGTGCTTCATTTTTAGGCTACTTCCATTACATGTGGGTAATATAATTAAGTAGGAGGTATTCATATTAGAGAGTTCTCTTTCCTCATATGAATAATTTTAGGGAGACAAAAAAGAACCATTAAGCGTTTCTTTTAGACTTTTTTTAAACCCAGGACGACAAAATCTGTATAAACCAAAAACTTGGTGAGTCAGCATGTTGTAAGTCCTGTATGTCAGAAGGGACATGACAGATCGACAATTCAAGGAGTGCAGAAATAATAAAATAGTTGATTATTTGTTTGAAGTTAACTGGGAATGCCAACATGCTACACTTTTGAAACTGACTTACAGCCAGTTCTTAAAAATGCAGTGACAGACCATATGCTTTGTTAGCTGACAGTTCAGTCCATTCTAACCTGTCTTCATTGCTACATTTGGAAAGGTTTTTTGAGCAGTTGGCATAGTAGGTTTACATGGAATAATTAAAAATGCCACTGCTGACTCCCAGATACGCAGTCGTATGCTGAAAGTATGTAGATTGATTAACTAGGAGTCCTCCAGGGTTGACATAGATTTGCATCCAGGTATCTGAAAGCCTTTCCTACTTCTCGTTGTTTCAGGCTTAGGGTTGTATGCAGGTTAGGTGCCAAAACAATGTATTTTTGAAAAATTCATCTATAAATTAAATTCAATTATATCAATCTAATATCATATAACCCCACAGCAACCACTTAGTATGGAGTGGAAGAAATGTCACGTGCATGCAGATAGAAACCTCTCCCACTAGTCTGTATTCAGAAAGTTGTCTTCACTCTGGTGTGCCTGCTCTGGGGTTGCTGGTACACTCAGAACAAGCACTGGCACTCGCTAGTGATGTAGTAGTTAGTCTTTTTGAAGGAGACCTAGGGTATTTGCAGTTAATATGCAGAGATTTCCATACCTTGTTAAGTTATATTTACACTCAGATCATGTCTGTTCTATGTGGTCAGGATGGTGTAAATGAGACTTTGTTTAAATTGGAATTGGCCCACCACCACCTGTATTAATGAAAGAAGGAGCTGATTTCAAACTTGTAAAATGACTGAAGAGCAAACTAGATAAGCAGATGTGCACCTTTGCTAAGAGGAATGGATTTGTTTTGGAATTTTGTTCATATTTATTTTCACATGAAAGTTTAAAATTACTTGGAAACACCAAAAAATGTGACTGGCAAAAGTTAGGGCTACAAAGGCAATTCATATAATTATGAAAAAAAGAAAATAACTCATGCATAGTAAAAGAAAAATTAATGAAGTAAAGCTGAAAAGAAAAGAAACACAACAGAGGAACTGAGACCTCCTATCTAAGTCTTTGTTTTTTTTTAAGACAGGCTTATACCACATTAGTGCTTTCAGAAAAGACAGTGTTGAAAGGCTGGCATGCCATTTAACCTCCTGCAGCCTTCTGACAACTGGGTGATGCTTAAGAGCTTGGCTTAGACCACAACATGACATTTAAATACTGCAGCATTCTGAAGCCCAGGTGCTGTCCTACAATTTTGTTTCACTATTGGCATAAAAATATGGATAGATGTATCTTAGATTTCACTGATACTAGTCAAAGTGAAAGCCTGTTAGTGCATCCTGGCTTCACAACAGTGTAAGACCATCTAGCTGCCCAATAGCAAGGTTCACACCAGTGTGAACCAGAATTTGGCTCAGGGTGTGCTGTTCCTCTGTGGTAGGAGTTGAGGATAACCTTTATCTCATCTGCTGCTTTCATGACTCTGTGAGCCTTAATCATAAACCCCTCTTGACTTCTCTCCAAAGGGGAGAATCCTGGCCTTTGGACATGCTTTTTGTAACACAGCTGCTCTACCTTAGTTATTTTAGTTACCTTCTTTGCACCTTCCCTAGCTCTGCCATGTCCATGAGGTGGGGAGACATGAAACACACATGCATTTAAGATGTGCAGTGTAAATTTTAAACAGAGGCACAATGATGTTCTACCCTCAGTGCCTTTCCTAATCACGTCCCACATTTTGTCGACTTTTTGGCGGTCATTATGCGGTAAGCCAATGACTCGGAGAACTGGCAGGATGCCTCCAAGCTCTCCTTTCCTGAGTTCAGTGTTGTGTAAGCAGGGTTTAGATGGTTTGTCCCTAGCTTTATGACCCCACTTTTTCTGTATTAAAGCTCATATGGCATCTTCTTGTCCCCTCAGTTATCTAAGGTCCTTCTGGAGTCCCTCACTATTATCTGGAAGACCTTAGTATCACCTGGAAACTTAAGAGATTTCCTGCATCAGGTGACTGATGAGTATGTTGAACAAAAAGCCAGCCCCACCATGAGTCCTGAGGGCACTTAACCACTGACTCATCTCCAAAAGTGGCCATTACGCTTTTGCTCTCTCTTGCTTAAGGTGTTCTAAAACCATAAAATCTTTCTACCAATCCTCCAGCAACCTGTTTTCTTCAATACTTTTTTTTCATGGAAGCTTGTCATAGGCTTTTTGAAAATCTGAGTGTTATGTCTGCTGTGCTTTCCTAGAGTTTGGAAAGTTAGGGATGCATAGTGTGAGCAGGGATCTTGCCAGTTACTTCAGTGCAGCAGAAATGGATCAACTCATGTAAGAAACACTTATCTCATCTTTCGACCATGAGTTGTGTTGTTTAATAGATTGCTGATGTTAAAAGTATATCGAAAAAGAACCTTTGAAAGAAAAGAAATAAAAAATGGGAGGTTGATTCATAAGTTCTTCTTTAATGAAGAAAAAACCTGGCTGCCTGCAAATTGTTCATGTTTGCCTTTTCTTTTTGTTACATTGCAGATGGCGTTCATACTTTATTATATGGCAATCGTTGGCCATGCTTTGTCTATAATATCGCTGTTGATTTCCTTGGCAATTTTCTTCTATTTCAAGTAAGTGTTTCTTACAGACACTCTCTCTTCTTTCCCTGAAGGATCTCAAGTGGTAATGAAAGAAAAGCTTGGAAGATGACATGGCTCTTATGAGTGCCTTTTTCTGTAATCCTGGTGAAAAGGTTTCAGCACAGGGTCCTGTCACCAATGGGACATCTCCCAGTGGTGTGTAGCCAAGATCATGCTGTTATATTTGTCAAGACTGGTGTAAAAGCATGACCCAAAGGGAAATGGTGTAACTGGGAGTGTGGTAAAGCCCTTTATTTACCAGTTGCCTGTTGTTCCTCTAAGGGCACATCCGGCTCCTGGCAGGTGCAGTGACTGGACAGAACAGTGGCTTGGAGCTCCCAGCTCCTGAAGAACAGGAATACCTTTATCTGATGCTGAAGATTGAGCTATTGACTTGAGTAGGTGCTTACCAGACCCAGCACTAAGAGTGAATCTGACACTAATATGTAGTCTGTCATCATCATTAAAAGGAAAAATAGTAATGTGCTCTACTTTAAAGAAGACTAAACTGATACTTGAAAGCATTGCAGCTACCATATGGCAACTTAACTAGAGCATTTAAATCTTGTCCTTTCGTGAACCTGTCTTTATGCTATGTGTTATAATGTGTCTGCAGTGAAGTAGCAGATGGAGCTCAGATTTGCCATCAAACGTAGTCACAGCTTCAGTCACAATCAGTATTGAAGGTCTGTCTGGGAACAGCCTTCACTTTTCAGCTCAGGGAAATGGCTAAATGCTAGAAGACATCAAAGGCACTGGGGAAAATATTAAATAAACAATATTCATGGCTCTTCAAGGCCAGGTTGGACGAGGCCTTGGGTGATGTGGTTTAGGGCGGGGTGTCCCTGCCCATGGCAGGGGGGTTGGAGCTCGATGATCTTGGGGTCCTTTCCAACCCTGACTATTCTATGATTCTATGATTCTATGAATAGACAAGATCCTGAGCTGTTGTACATCCAGAGCTATGAACACTTGCATAAGTTATGTTTTCCTAGCTCTTATGCAATCTTTTTAAGGTATTTAATTTTTCTAACATTACTATAAACTACAAATTTACCGGACTGATAGCACACTCAGAAATCAGAGTTGTAACGTACATGCACAGATAGTTTGATGAAACAGAATGATGCATCCAGTATAATGACCCAAATGGGATGTTGTCTTACAGGTTTCAGCAAATGTGCATCAGTTACTTGCAATCATATAGCCAAATCATCAGTTCATGATCAGAGATAGGGAAATGTGCACCATCAGTAGAGTGTATCTGGAGATAACGGCAAGGTAATCTAAAAGGCCAGATAACTTTACCTGGATAAAGTTTTCCAAGGATACAAAGGAGTATTCCTCACACTGCACACTGGGAAACAAGAGTAAAATAAGAAACAATTACAACTGTTTCTGAATAAATAATACACACAGTTGTATCCAGACAGACTTTTATTGCCAAAAAACATATGTCAGTCAAGTATGCACAAACCCCCTAAACTCTTCAGAGAATGCAGTGTTCTTTGACCCATCAAGAATGCAAGGAAAAGGAAAAAAACAAAACAAACAAAAAAAACCCACCAAAAAAAAAAAAACCCACACCCCCAATCTTTTTTTTTTTCATTATCTTCTTTACAGAGTGTAAGAAATAATAGTAACTTAAGTCCTTACTGGCGTCATTGTAAGAATATACTGTTTCAAGATTGTAATTTAGCCTGCAAGAAATTATTTCAAGCTAAAATTATTCCAGAACACAAATAGGCCTGTGTGACAAACTGGGTTGTGAGATATCATCAACTTCATTATCTGAGTTTCTGAGATGTCATTTTTTCAACCACAAGTACACATTTGAAGATCTATAGAATCCATCAGCACATAGCAAGCATGAAATTCCATCTTACACGTGCATAGTAATTGAACAGATTTGGGGATTGAAAGAATCCCTTCCTGAAGAGCCATCTCTAGTGCACAAGGGATGGTTGCCTTGCTCTAAAAATCTTTAGTGAAAGGTGCTCCACAAAATTCTAGATATTTGATGCCAGTGCTTAAATTCTAGTCTCAGAGTCTCTGTCTTATTTAATCTAAATCTTACATGAGGCACCTTAGCCTGTTTCTGGCCGCAGTTTTGATCTATATGTACTACATATCCATGGATATGTCCAGGTTGTATGCCTTCTAATAGTAATTTTCTCAGTAACAGTATGTGAAGCTTCTTCCTAGTTACTTCATTTGCTGTTGATCCCTGGAAAGGTACACCATGGATGAGGGTGTCTGTATAGGCTGGAAAAGGGTATGCTTAGTAAATTGAGAGGCCGGAAGAAGCTGGCATAAATCTTAAAGCCATACAATTTGATGTCTATGCCTCAAGTGCCAGACAGGAAGGGTAGTAAAAGAACAAGCCCCCAGCATCACCACCATTAAGAGCAAGTCTAGGAAACATAGGAAAATGAAACAATTGGACTTTGTGTAGACTAAAAGAGTCTGTAGGATTACAAATTCAAAATAGGTGGATCCAAAATATAGGTTGTGAATTCTGCTACTTTCCAGAGGCAGTTTGATGAGTGACTGTGGTAACATGGAGTAATCAGACACAGAGATATCTAGAAACTCTACCCAATGAACTGATGAATTCCTTTCCCATCTAATTCTAAAAAGCACAAAACCATAGCCGAAGTAATACTTTAAGAAACCTGAGAAGAGCACAGTTTAATTTGATTTCAAGTCCTATACCTAGGCTTCAGAGTTCTTTGGGACAGTAAAGAAGGATCTAGTTAAATTAGCTACCCAAAATGGAGCAGGAAGGTGATTCTTTGCCGTGAGCAAGGCAGGTTCAGGATGTCTGACTCACTGTTAGCTCTGAGTCACAGACAATACACAACCCTGACCAGTCCCAGGCCACACTGGTAGACTCATCTTTGCAGCAGCTTTCCAGACAGTAACACACCTCCTCCTCCTGTCTTTCCTCCTCCGCTTCTCCTTCTCCTTCCATGACTAATCCATGACACAAAGGTTATAGGAAGAAGCAGAGAAAACAATTAAAGCAAAGTGCTGCAAAATGGGAGGACAAAAATGAAACCAAACTACGATCATAAGAAAATGAGAATAAAGTTGTAGGGGAGCAGGGTTCATGTTGCCTTCATTGTGTTTCTATCATCTGGCTATGACAGTAGTAGATTATTTGACCTTCAATAGAAGGCAAGTTGTCAATCAGACAGGCAATCAGCAAGAGATGCTCTGGGGACTCTATAATACCCTCTGATTGTAGAGGCAGCAGCAAACAGCTTGCAGAGGTTGCTGTTTCCCACATGTAAGTCTTTCCTGGCAGAGATTTATTTTCCTTTCAGTTTTGGGTATCAAGATTCGTAATGATCTGGCACCACAGATGTTGCAGTACTTTTGGAAGGGAATTCTGAATCAGTAGTGATGAGCATCACTAAGCAATACTAACTCATAACAGGAGACAGAGTATTCATTAACCATCAGATTATTGCAGTATTTTTATAATTGCAGACAGAGACCCCACTATCTTATATGATATAACACAAAAGGAAAAAGGGACTCCTAGCTCAAAATCACTTCTAATTAAATTATTAAAACAAAGACATTTGTTTAAAGACAGGTGGGCAGTACAATAAGTCTAGATTTGCAAGAATAATATATGGTTGTGTTCTGAATGCACCTGCAATCTAATTGTTGCCAAGGCTTTTAAAGCTGAAGAAGGATAATATGGGGAAAGATAATTTGTAGAAGTTCATTGGGAGTTTTCGCCCAGGGGTAAGAGAGAGAAAGGTAGAAAACATGAAAATAGTTTGAAAACTGAACAAGTGTGTAGGAGATGGAAAATAACTGTCAGGGAGTAAAAATGGGTATTCGCAGTAATTGGTATTCATGAGTGAGAACAAATGATAGATTCACGGTGCAGATCTATGAAGAAAATAATGCTAAAATCTCCTTGGAAGTCAAAACATCCCAGATGGAATAGGGAACTGGAGATAGGAACTCAAAAGTAAGGCTGACTCTGTGAGTAGATAGGAGAACCCATCTCTGTCAAAGGAAATGTAGGAGACATAGAATAAATGTGAAACACAAGGGAATCACAAGAAACACAGGAGGCTCTGAAACTCTGAGATACAATGGATAGAAGCTCAGTGACACAAAAAACTCATAAGATGTAGGCACGGATAACTGGCTTAGTGATGCCTTCTTGCATTATGATTAATGCCACAGAGTAGGGAGCATACAGAAAGATGGGGGAAAGATGAAAAGGAGCCTGTAAAAATACCATGAAGGAATTATTAGGACATCAGGAAGAGGGACAGGAAGAGGGCTACGACAGGTCAGAGAAGGAGAAGATGCAGATTTTCAAAACCAGACTAGAGGGTGAATCAAGGGGTTTGGTTTTGCTAAAATGTTCTCTCAGTGCAGACTGAATCAGGCAAGTCCTGATGCCACTGTGCTGGCAAACACTGAAGGTCAAATTAAAAACTGAGGGTATGGAAATATATGCTTAATGATCCAGATGGGTCTTTAGCATGAAAGCTGGAGTCAAGAAATAAAGGTGGGGAATACTGAGAGGAAAGGAGGAGAGCAATGCAGGAGTAAAAGTGAGGGAGGAAGGCAGGCAGGGAAAGGAGCTTGGACAGTGGACAAAGGCAACATGCAGTGAAGAACAGTCAAATTTAATAGAGGAGTAAGACTGTCAAAAGTCAAGTGGAGCAGTGACAGGAATGGGAGTGGAAGCACATGTACCTGGCAGAGATTATCACAAAATACAGTCTCTCTGTACCAGTAGTCCTGTAGAGAGGAAGCTGGAGAGACAAGGGTCTGCATTTCTGTGGCCAGGAGCTGAAAAGACTGCTCTAAGTAAAAGGCAAATTTTAATTTGTTTGGAACAGGCTTGATACCACACCAGTCTTGTTTCCATATCTGGTGCTCAACAGTTGCCTTTAACGGATGCTAAAGGAGCAATACAAAATCAGTATAGGGATGATCTCATTCCTAACCCACTAGCATCTCATGGATGTCCTGAACCAAATAAGGTGCATTGGTAAATAAGAAGGTGAATAAAAGTGATGAGCATTACAGGATGATGATGATCATAACCAGAAAGGTGACCTCCAGCTAAAGGAAGAATTCCATCCAATGACTCAGAAAATAGGTGTAAGGAAAAGAAAGAATAAGTGGCAGCTGACCAAGGAGCTAAAGAAATTGAAAACAAATAAATAAACAAGCAAAATAATTAAAGAGTTCAGTTGATTAGATTAGCTCTCTGTTTTGAAAGAAAGTGCATTCTGCACTGACCTCCACTTGCAGAGCATCAAGAAGTCACTGACTGTGCTCCCTTCCAGACGGCAAAAGACTCCTAGTGCTGAGATGCAAGCTTACTTTAGCAAGACAGCAACACTTGCTCTTATTTTTTTTAGCTACTGTTTTTGCCTGCTTGCTTTCAGTGATCACTGAATACAGACATCACAGCATTATCTAACAACTCCATGATTGCCTTTTTGTAATCACCTCCTGCCAGCCCCAGGCTGTGCTCTGGGGCATGGAGCACCGTGGAGGCAGTTTTCTCTGCATCAGGGGTAGCCAATGAGGTGGCATGAAGATTTGGGCATGAATTAGAAAGGGGAGATGGTTCAGATCTGAAACTGCAGTCATGACTTGGTTTCAGAAGAATCCTGTGAGCTTCTCTTGTGGAATTCTGCTACCTACAAGTAGCAGAAATCCTACCATCCCCAAAGTCGGTATTCAGGAAAGATTGCTGCTCCTTTTGAGCAGCAAAACAATCTCTTCTGATTTGGGAGCTTAGCTGGAGTTAGAAAAATGCAGGATATCAATCCAAATCCCCCTGTAATTTAAGGAGATTCCTGCCCAAAGTTCCCATCCAGTCATGCCACTAATTCTGAAAGTAGCAAATAATTTTGATCTGAATATTTGAGAAATTGAGTCTCCAGGGAACAGTTACTTATAAAGCAGTATTCCTAATGTTCATTACTTGTATCATGCGCATCTAATAATTCTCAGGGTTCCGCTTCACCACACAATATCTAGATTACCATGAAATAAAGGCATCAAGGGCTGAGAATGTAGCTGGATGGCTTTCTACAACATGGTCTAAAAAGCATGTGGTGCTAAACAGGTGTAAAAACAAAACAGAAAAATTGACAGAGGTTATGGCTGCGATGCAAGGCATGTGTTTTCCAATTACGCCTTGCCAGAAGGCATTCTTGAGACACTGTTGCCAGAAAGAGCTTGTTAAAGTGACATCAGAAGAAAAATACTAATTTACAACGTGTGCTACATATTTTTCAGGAGCCTCAGCTGTCAAAGGATAACACTGCATAAGAATCTGTTTTCTTCTTATGTGCTGAACTCCGTGTTTACAATTGCCCACCTCATTGCTGTTGTGCCTAACCCAGGCCTTGTAAAAAGGGATCCTGTAAGTACTGCATGACTCCTCTCCATCTTAAGACCCCGGTGAAATGACTACAGCCACAACAAAACCAAGCATTCCTATTCACCGGTTAATGATAGCCATCTGGTAAAGCACACATGGAGGGTGCAGATTCTGAGAATTTCACTCAGCCTTGCTCAGATCTTTCACCAAGCAATAAAAATCTTTGAATCAGGTACAAGAAGGAGAAGCCTCAGACATGCTCCTACTAGCCCATCCGTTCAAACATGTGTGAGATCCCTGCTGCTCTCGGCACTATCTACCTGATATTTCCCAACAAAGCCCCTGAAGGGGCAGATAACCTTGGCAGCCCCCAGTCCTTTCTCACAAGCACACATGGTGGGAAGAAGCAGGAATGGGGAGAGATACCACTTTTTTTAAAAAATACCCTCCAAAAGATCAGTTTGATGCATTTATTTTTTCTTCTTTGGGTGGGATTAAATTAAAGCAATAGCATGCCTCACTGCTCTTAGGTAGTGACAGAAGTTGTACCAGCTGCGCAGCTGATAAATATGTATTGTAGATCTTGGCCATCCAGCTCTAGTCTCTAACAGTCTCTAACAGAGCAGTGGTGGTGTGCTCACTGACTTTACTGCAGCCCCAGCTGATGTGAAACTAATGCGAGGCTGGGAATCTCTCAAGTTATGTCACAACACCAATCAGCTTGACTTCCAATAAGATCGTTCAATTATGCTTCAGCCATTTATCCACTTTTAATTTTGTGGAAGTGATTAAACATTAGCACCTGGTATAATCTGATCATGTGTGTCTCAGGCATGCTGGTTAAGTAAGCTGGTTGAAGATTGCTGGTTAAGTAAGCTAATTAAAGTAAGAAATATATGGGCTAAAGAAAACATCATCAGTCCCAGGGACCATCTGGAGATTAAAAAAAAAAAAAAAAAAGAAGAGCAGAAGAATAATTTAAAAAACACACATTTTTTTCTCCTTCCCACATGGCTTCATATGCACATAGCCTGTGCAAGAGATGCAATGAAAATACACTTGATATTTGAAGATAAAAATCTGGCAGATGATATCAGGCACCTAAATTGAAGTAAGATCCTTACCTCAGGGTTAAGAATGATACTTCCTGACAGCAGAAGTAAATTATCTGAAGTGCTTTAAAGTAAAAGTTGAGGCTGTGGTGAGGACTCTTATGCCCTAAGATTTCATTTTAAAACTGTATCTAGTGCCTTTGGGCTGGATCTTTATTTGGATCTTTATTATTTTGTTTCGAATATCTTGACCCCAGTGAATTCAATGACAAAGCTCTCAGAGGGTTCGGTAGGTACTGGCACACTGGACAGGTACTGGCACACTGAGCATCACCTAATGAAAACCCTGACCTCCATTGCAGCGGCAATGGATAGTATAGAAATGACATAAGTGATTACTTTTGGAGACTGTGGAGTCCCAGGACAGTGTGGAGCTTCACATACATGATCAGCTTTCAGATCTCCAGTGGGAATATGAAGAGCACCTGTAAGTGCTCAGTACAGTCAAGGAAATGGCCCAAGCATGTCCTTGCACTGATCTTACCAACTATAGCTGTGTTAGTAAATCTGGCTGCAGCTAGTCAGCTAAGCACACATTATATATATTACATATATATTACAGAATATATTACATATACTCTCCCTATGAATATAGGAAGACTTAAAGGATTTATGTTAAAAATGTAATTATTCCACCAAATAGATTCCCATACTAATTTTAATGCCAATTAGCAGAGCAAATGAAAGCTTTATAGCTTTTTTGTTTTCTTCTATTGGTACTGCACCCTCTGTTTTATTAAGTCCATTTTAAGACAACTGCTTCTGAATTCCTGAAGTTTTCTTCATGTATCCGCTTTCCACCTGTGCCTTTTCTGAGCCTGACAGGCTTATGTGTGTGTGGCTCCTACCTCCAATATATACAGAAAATCTGAAGTGTGTAGAAGGAATTTCAAACAGTTACAGGAACCCTTATGTAATGGCCATATACAGAGATAAAGTTGGTGTTATTTATTCTGCAAAATAATAAATGTGTTTCCACCCCAATAGCTCCTGTCTTTTTTTTCCTGCCTAAAGTTTCACACTAGATTTTAAATATGCAATGCCATGGGAAAATACTTGCTTTGTACATATTTATGAGGATATGAACAAATACATATAATTTTGAAAGAAAAAAAGAGTGTTCTGTTTAATCACAAAGAGAAAAGACAGGAGAAGCAAGAGAGGAAATTCATCCCTAACACCAAGGCATGCACATTCTGCCTGTGATCCAGGCACAAAGATGTGAGACAATCCAAAGCACCATTTACATCAGGAGAGACTGTACTGCCTCCTTACTCACATAAAGTTTGCTGCACAGAGTTAAACCCTTTGATGATCATCTTGCTCATGTAAAATGGTAAGTCAAGCCACTTTTTTGATATATCTTCACTTGCTTTTTTACCGTGGTTTTTTTTCCTGCTTTCTGGTTATATAATTTTCTTCTTTCTCTTTCTCTTTCTCTTGTTTTTATCTGGATCTGAAGTGATGGAAGAAAAAGACCTGAGCCTAGGTGGCCACTCAAGAAGCAAAGAGCAATGAAAAAGATTCAGAAACACTTGGTACAAAAATAAATAGGACACATGTATGAACACTCATTTACATATACTAAACAATATTTTGTGAGATAATTTTTTATGTTTTAACATAGCAAATGCTTTAATTACATTATTACTGGAACAGATCTTACAGGAAACTGTATCTTCTATCACCTTAAATGAGACTGACCCACAGAAGAAGGGTGATCTGTAAACAGCACAGTATGTTCTCCATTAAAAAACCTGGAAATATAAATAAAACTCTTGCTGCCTAATCTCTTAATGTAGTCTTGCCCATGAGATTTGTATTTTTCATTTTTTGTATTCAGCAAGATTAGTAATTTTAATACTCAATACTGATGGGGGTAAGGGAGATAGAGCTCATGACTGGAGAGATAGCTCTGCTAATAAGGAACTGGATAATTTATCAACTTCATGGGCACCAATATACATATGTTTGTAAATGGCGCTAAGTTTGGCCACAAGGCAGTAATAGCTCAGTACCTGGAACCTCTTAAACCAGAAAAGGTTTAAGAGATCTTACTGTATTTTTATCACTTTCTTGTTGTAGTGGAGATATCTGTTCTCTTCTTTTTCCAGGCTCCTCTGTAGCCTCTTCACATTTCACATAACAGTTTCACCCTTTCTTCTGTTAGTCCCAACTTTCTCAGCTCATCGTCATAAGGGAGGTGCTTCAGCCCTCCAGCCCCTTTATCATCCTCATGGGCCTCCTCTGGACTTTCTCCAGCAGCTCCATTTCACTTGTTGCTATGCCTGTGGACATGAGGTGGGATGACAAGGGCTCTCAGTTTATCTGTACTGGCTGAACCCCATCTCCTGGTAAGAATCACACCTTAAGGAGTAACTACTAAGCTGCTTCCCACTCAGCATTGTTAGTGAGACCATGAGAAAGTGAGGAGGGCACAAAAGCTGGAGTCTACTAACATTACAGTCTTTAAATCAAGGCCACAGTTGTAGTAATATTAAAAAAATCTAGTATCCTCATGGACACTAGAGCACTGTAAATAATCTCACCATTTACAGACTCAAGTGGAAACCACGACTGCCCAAGTATCTTAGGTTTTCCTCCCTATCACAGTAAAACAGCACAAATAAAATGTTGAGGTCTGTGGGCAGATTAGGAGTGTATAAAGGGTAGTTACTGTGATTTTTAGTGTGATTTATGGGGTTATGATACTGGTGACCTCCGCTATTCTGAAAGGCATAGCAATGAAATGAGAGCCAAGAAAACAAAAGAGATCCACAGCATTTCAAGAATAGTGTCTGTTTTAGGACTTTTAACCATATAAATGTTACTTTCTCATCTCTCGTTGCTTTCAGTTCCGATGTAGCCTGGCAGAGCCTGTGGGGTTTTAAAACATATTCTTCTGAAATAAGAGGCTCATAGATGACAGCAGTGAAGATAAATGGAAAAACTGCTGCCCCATGTGACTTATTGTGTTTGCCTTTAGTAGTCCCAGCAGTCTCTTTGGTGCAGCCCCCTTTGGAAGCAACAAAGGTGGAGCTCCACAAAGAAGAAGGGCACTTTGATCATCGGAGTTGTTTCATGTATTATGCTCAGGGTAACGCTTCAGGAGGCTCCATTCTTGTTAAATAATCTGATTCTTTATTAATGTAACTATTTCCAGAGCTTTCCTGTCAATCTCAAAGCATATCCAAGGTCTTTCATCATAGCACATCTGTTCCTCCATCCTGCTCCCACTGGATCACTTACAGGGCCTGTGCAGCCAGTTTAGCCCCAAAGAGATGATTCAAAGCAATTCTAGAGTATCATCTAGATGCAGAAGTAATCAGAGACCAAACTTCTAACACAGAATTACTGGCCAATACCTAGAAGTCATGTCTCCTGAGTCTTCTATAGTGTATCATCTTTTACACTAGGAGAGGGTCAGTGTTCTTGTGAAAGCTGTTGTCATCTTCCCTATGAGCCCTTCATCTAACGAAGTGTCCAACTGACTATCATCTAAAACACTGCCTTTCTGCCTATACCTGCCTCTAGTATAGGAGCAAGGTTTGGTAAGATGGTCCCAATGTGTATTTGTGAATTTACAAATTGTGCAAATTTTGTGCATTTGAGGTTTATATTTGTGCATAGACTTCACTAGGACAAACTGGCTCAGCAAGGTTGGCCTGGAGAGCATAAAACGTATTACTTGCTTTTCTGTATTGCTTGTTTTTCTGAGGGCCAAAGTTAGTCTCCAGCCAAAGGTTTTCCACCAGTTTCATGTCTCACCATGCTATGTTCAGTGATGAAATTCTGGCATTTTTTTATTCAGCTCCAAAGTAAAACAAGAAGCAAAAGTGCCTGTTATGGATGAGTGGACTTAACCTTTTAATTGACAATTTGCAAGCCAAGGACTGAGGCTGTGCTTCAGCCTTTGCAGATGCCCCAGAG